TATGAAGATGAAAGTCATCCATTTGCCGGGTTGATAATTATATAGCCCGAACGTAGACCCAATGATCGCATCATTTTACAGCGATTTACCTCATTGTCGAAAAAAATGCGGTGTCTGAATTAAGGGTTGGTTTGACTCCTATGGTAGTGGAAAAAAACTATTTTGTTTAAAGAACATTTTATTTATATTTCATATCAAAGATTTGTTCTGTTTACCTCTTCTCCGGGAGGGGGTGGTTGTATGATGTTAAATGTATGCAAATTAGAGTCAGTATAACACCAATACCGTCGATCAACATTTTGCTTAGTTTTGTGATACATGAAATTAATTTGAGTTGTCAAATCCTTCGTTACGAATACATCATGTGCATATATGATTTGTACGTGTAGAGGCGAGTTAGATTTGGTAAATAGTGGAAACCAGCCAAGCATGTTATGTCATGCACATCACCTCAATGTTTTGAATAAAGTCAAAGATGATCTAAATTTGCATATATAGTCCTACTAGAATAATACAGAAATTTGGTGAAATGAGGTATGTTTAATCATTATAACACATTATTGATGCAGGCAAGCTTTGTTTTAGATGTTCATATTTTAGTCTTATTTGTGAGAAAGCTTATAGTTCAAGAAAGGGATTGATATGTTTAGCTTACTCTACTTTACATTTCTTTCGAATGTCCACAGCCCTGTTGCAAATTATATATATTATTCAGTGAATCAATCTATGTAATTAGTTTCATGTTATTTCATTGGCATCACTTGTTGTTCGTCCTTTTAACAGGAAATGTGATTAAAATCATATTTTGTAATACCTGTTGGTACTTTCTCTCTCTCTCTCTCCCTCCCTCCCTCTTCGTCTCTCTTCATCTCTCTCTCTCTCTCGTTGTCTCTCTCTGTCTCTCTCTCTCTCTCTCTCTCTGTCTCTCTTCATCTCACTCTCTCTCTCTCTCTCTCTTTCTTCCCTTTCTCTTGGGCTTTCTAATCTCTGGTTAAGTTTTGAAAAACATTTTGTTTTCCAGAAGATCTATCGACATATCTGTATAGGAAATTCTAGTCAATGATACAAGTATTTCAGGGACTTCAAAAGGGTATATTTTTGACATCTAGCTAATGATACCAACTAACAAAGACTAAACAAATCTTGCAACAACTACAAAGAATTTTGAAAAAGTTAACATGTCAACATGTTTATTTGAAATGAAACAACATTTCAAAATATCAAAATATACAGTTTATAAACAGTAACATCATTAAACACCAAACTATGCAAATTCTGATTTGGCATTTCAAAGTCTGGTTGAAAACAAGGAACTACATGAAACGTGATAGTCTGATATTGTATGCTCTTACAAGTAACAAGTATACAGTGGCAAAAGGCAGCTTTAGGCAAACAGAAGAAAAAAAATGTTAATCAGGATAGCTGGGATGAAATTTTTATAGACGATGTATAGAATGAGAATATTGAAGAAGGAGGGAGAGAGAGAGAGAGAAAGTACACAAATATAAATAAATTGACAACAGGAAAATGAGAGAAATTGAGGGAGAAGATTGTATGGACTTGATTAACAGATTGTAATTTAAATAAGACTGTCAAATTTGATGAATACCTCTAGTCAGGGGCGTACGCAGGATTTTTTCAAGGGGGGGGGGGGGGGGTTTTAAAATCGGGCCCAAAATATTTTGCTCCCGAAAAATTTAAAATCGCGCCGGCCGAAAAGTCGCTCAGTGGGGGGGGGGGGGGGGGGGGGGGGGGGGGGGGGGGTAGGCGGACACTTTTTTTTATTTTTTTGGAGTCCAAAAAAAATCGCAACGACCCAGCCAGCCGAAAAGTCGCTCAGTGGGGGGGGGGGGGGGGGGGGGGGGGGTAAGCGGAGACTTTTTTTTTTTGGGGGGGGTCTCGAAACTTGAAAATTTGACATTTTTCTTCGTTGGCGGGGGGGGGGGGGGGTAAGGTCACCATTTTTAGGTTAGCCGTGGGCATACAAAAAAAAAAAATCCAAAGGGGGGGGGGGGGTTTAGGTTTTTTTTAGGGGGGTTTACACACATAAAAATACCAAAGGGGGGGGGGGGGGTTTGAACACCCAAACCCCCCCCCCCCTGCGTACGCCCTGCGTTTACTAGTGTATTGATATTAATCCAACTCTCAATAAAACTAGAAATTTAATTCGTCATGGGGACGAATTAGGTGGTCTGTCTTCAAGTCTTATGAGAGATTATAATATTTACTATATTGAGAAAGGGAGAAGTTATATAGACATGTAAACAATGATGATCATCATGATGATCATGATGATGATGATCTTGATAGTAATGGTGATGACGATGATGATGATGATGATGTTGATGATTATCATCAACAGACCACGATGACATCAGACTGAACAAAATTAGAGAAGATTTAGATAGCGTATAGTCTCAGCTACAACATACTCAAAAATCGACAAAAACCAAGCCGAAAATAACGGCGATATTGCTCGCAAAAGACAAGAATGTAGAATCCAGATTTGAGAAAAAGTCATCTCCCAAAAGGATTACACGTCAAAAGTAATGGATCTAGTGATAATAGGGTAATAATAAAGTAAATATGGTTGTTTATTACATTATTTGCGATTCTACGTGTTTTAATATTCAAAGGAGTTGGTACAGTGAAAGGTCAAAAAGAAAAAAAAGTGAAGAAAAAAAATTGTTGGAGACGCCCGGACTCGAACCAGGGACCTCGAGGTCGGAAGTCAAGTGCGTTACCGATATACCAAAACATTTCCCATAGAGATTACACGTAAACGGAAAATGGAATTATCAAATCCCACTTTGTAAGTGAAATATGAGCATGATCCCGGCATCTGATCGAAAAATAAAGGGCACACTTGTGATAGCTTATTGTCTCAGCTAAAACATACTCAAAGCTCAGCGTAAACGAAGATAACAATACGGAGATATTGCTCGCAAAATACGAGAATGTAGAATACAGTTTTGAGAAAAAATCATGTCCCATAGAGAATACACGCAAAATGTGAAAAATTGACATGCCTCCTTTAATCGCAAAAATACGCCATGATACCATTGTCAAAATGAAATATTGTGTCAACTGCCTTTGTAGAGAATATTCTCAGGTAGAACATATCAAAATTTGAAAAAAAATTGATCAATATTTACAGAGATACAATCAATTTTTCAAAAATCTGCTGACGTCATAATATGCAAATTAAAATTTTGAGTTCGGAGGCCATTATGATGACGTCATGAGTTAATTGAGGATCAAATGAGACATGAATTCATATCTCCAACTCATGCTTTTTCCAACCATGATATAAAAATTGGGGGTCAATGGACTATCTGAAGAGCTATTTTGATTTTTAAAATGGCATGTTTTTGATCAAATTTGCATTATATTGCCCATAGCAGCACGCGCGGATTTTGAACTTTGACGCGCGCTCACGGCCTTATGAAAGGTCAAGAGTGACTGAAATTAATGTAAATTGTCATTTACGGTAAGAGGAATCTAAATCATGTAAAAAAAATTAAATTTGACTTTTTACGCGCGCTGTGAGCGCGCGCAACGCGCGCGGGGACACTTACGGACGGAAAATTTTGAAATGCTTAAAATGACCTGAAACGTGTGCAAACAAAATTTGGGACGAATTGGAGCATTTTAAAAATTTTAAGCGGGCGTACGTGCGCGTCGAGGTGCGCGCACGGATTTTGTTGACATTTTTAGTTGACCTTTGACCGGAAGTTGATGTATACTAAATATGGTTTATTTTTGATTACTCGTTATTGAGATATGATAATGACCTGATTTTTACAAAATGGCGCCTGGATGACGTCACGATGACCCCATGAACTTGAAAAAGGTTTCGGGAACTTCATATCATAGGGCCTGATGACTAGCAGAAATTTGAAGGAAATTGACCAGGTCGAGTTCGAGTAAACGTATACACAAAAAAAGTGTACGGAATAAATAAAAATAAATAAAGAAAGAATAAAGAATAAAGAATAAAGAATAAAGAAAGAAAATTCTAACGAAAATCAATAGGTGATCTGTCATCGACAGACCACCTAATAATACCATTTTGTATGAAACATCCAATAAAACTATGGTATCGTAAAAACCCAAATATATATAAAACACCTCAAGCCTTGTTAAGTACCACAACACTGCAAATGAATGTTGTAAATATATGCATCATACTTCTTGTAAAAAAAAAACAATTTTAAACAAATCTATATTATACCTTCTTTTCAACAAACGACTTTGAACACCTTGAATTTTTTATAAATTATGATATATCCATCATATCTATGAACAATTACCAGTAATTTGTTTTGGAACATCTTGTGTACGTGGAAGCACAAAGCCACAAGGAAGAACATAACTTGATGAGTTTAATGTTTCAATTTTTACATAAACCACATGATCCATTTCACACTAAAGACATAAATAACCGAGTTGGGATAAATGGTTCCATTATCTACACGTAAAGGAAATAATGGCTATTTGACCCATTTTAGGTGCCTAGTCATAACTTTTTATCACAGTTTTGTTGGATTCCGAGGTGAAAAATACATTTGCAAATGCTCAAGAATATCTAGAACAAGCAGCCTTTGCATACAAGCATTAATCATTATATACGGTCACTGGTCTGACGGGTAGCCTGGTTCTGCTTCCATGAGTCATGGTCTCCACTGGTGACTCTTCTAGTATCACTACTGGATGAACTGCTATGATGATCTTGCTTCCAGTTATCCCCTCTGCTTGCCTGGGGCTTGTTTCTTACTGGAGATGATCTACGCTGAGCGTGTGTATCACCCCCTGCATCAAATCGATTCCTGTCCTGGTTGAAGTTACCTCTGTCCCTCTTTGGCTCTCTTTCACGCCTCTCATCCTTCTCTCCACCAAAGCGCCCAGGAACATGAGGTTCCCTCCTGGGAGGTTCCTCTCTTTTGGGTGGATCCACACGGCGAGGTGCTTCCTGCCTCGGATGTGGGGGAGCAGCGTTTCTAGGCTCTCTGGTTTCTCTGACATCTCTTCTTGGGAAATTCTCTTCCCAGGTTCTGGTCTGCGAGTGGGTTTTTCTCTTCTTGTGGGTTCCTCTCTCCTAGCAGGTTCCTCTCTCCTTGTTGCTCTGTCAACCCCGTCTCCATTCTCCGCTTTTGCTCTCCCATGTATGCATCCATCTCATGCATGGGCATACCTCTGGCATCCATTGTGCGCTTCACAGCTGCACGGTGCTCTCGCTCAATGCGATGGCGAATCAATTTAATTTGTAGGATTTTGAGCTGCTGTTCAAGTTCCCTACTAACCTTGTCTTCTTCCTCCTCCCTCGTGCGACGTCTCAAGTCTCGCTGCCTCCTGAACTGATCACTTCTCCCCCTCTCTCTACGTCTCTCAGCCTCTCTCATCTCTCTCTCAGCCTCTCCAAATGATAGAATGTCTTTCTTGTCCTTCTCTTTGTCTTTATCAGTCTTCTCTTTGCTGTCTGGCTGTGCTGTGGTATCCACCTCAGATCCTGGTTCTGTCGTAATGGTTGGTTTCTCTTCACCTGGTTTGGCAGGGGATTTTCCAGCTGAAAGATAATAAGCAGATGAAGTGTAAATATTCTAAATTAGTTTCAAATAACAAAATACAAAATAACATGATATTCTCTGTAAAAATAAATTACATTTTGGGCAGTGCAATTTGGTGAGAAGCTTGCATTGGGGTCCCAGCTTCAAACTTTGAAGTCAACTCTTTTTCCTTTTTCTTGGCAGAGCAATTTAGAAATGATTGAAAACTGCATTGTTTGTTATCCTACCTGGGGATGTTGCAGGTGGTTTCATGTCCACGTTATCTCCAGTCTTCTCTTCACCGTTAGCAGGCTTTGCCTCCTCTTCTTTCTCTGTCTTCACTGCTACGGTAGCAGCATTGGCCACTTCTTTAGCTTTCTCCTTCTCCCTCTCCTTCTCTTTCCTTCTCAGCTAGAAGCAGGGATGGTGGGATCAGAGGTTGGTTCCTACCTCCTGGTACAGGGTCGTTACCAGCCTGGGAAGAGGATGACAAAGGCTGCAATCACTAGGCGATGACAATCATATTTGCCATAGATAATGACACTGACAATATCTTAAACTGTCTCTATTTAATTCAAGGAACAGGGATCTATAAGATTTGTTGTAAAAACAAATGAAGCATTTTGCTTCAGTTCTATATACTGTCTATCAGCTCTTCACAAGCCTGTGACGTTTAGTTTAAAGTTAGATTTTGTATGTGGCCCATCCTGAGCTGACAGACCAGTATTATAAAGTTCTTAGAATCAATTATTTGCATTCTACTTTTGTGGCTGAATTGTAGAAAAGTACTGAATACCCCTGGGAACGTTCATCTAACGGAAGATTTGACAACAGAATCAATATGGGAGCATCTCATGAACACAAGCAAACACAGGAAGGCGTTAACTCTGTATAAAGTGCTATTAGTTAGAGCCCTTCTTGACTCTCAGCGGACGATTGAACCCTTTATTTTGAGTTCATACAGCTCCAATGAAATCTTCTCCCCTGGTGTACACTGATATAAAATTTGAAGTTCAACTTCTTTATTAAGATATAGACATCTAAATGGATGTATAGACATGCTGAAGTAGTCCCCTCCTTCAGTAAAAAGCTTTCATCTGATCATGTGGACTTTTTCAAGCCAAGTGACTCTTCAAACAGTTCTTTGCTGTTAGCTGCCTTGAGATGAATATGTAATGACTTGGCTTAAGAAAGTCATAGGAGTGGATGAAAGCTTGACTGGTTAATTCTAAAGCTCTCTTAAAGCTAATTCTTACCCATTCAACGTGGATAGTTCTTCCGTGAAGCTCAGTACGATGGAGATGGTTCATAGCCCTCTGAGCCTCAGAGCTAGCAGACATCATCACAAAGCCATAGCACAAGGTTCCTGGGCTACGAGCATTGGTCACGACCTTGGCACCAGCAACCTAACAGGAGAGATCAATGATCAATGAAGCAAGATGTCCTACAACAGGGCTTGACACAAACAAGAATCCAGTGCACAAGGCCCCCCCCCCCCCCATTTAAAAAAAAACTTTGGGCCCCCCAAATATATTTGCATGCATAGAGATCGTACAGGTTGCAATCAGAAACCCCTTATGAAATAAGTGGAGCATTTCTTACAAGCATTTGTAGCTTATTATTTTCTCTTTAGAATCATTCCTGAGAAGAAATCTGCACCACTTTCTACTTCTGATTTCTATACATATGTGCATTGATACAAATTAAGCATGTGAATATCACATTGAATATCCCTCAATTGATCTTTAATCAATTCATCAAGTTCGCTTCCAAAAAGCAATAATATTTTCTGGAGTAATTTCTCATCATTAAAAAAAAACAAGTGAGTTAAATAGGGACAAAAAAGATGTGTACATATTATTCAGTTAATTTATCAGGCGATTTGACATCAAGTTTATGTGTGGTCTTAGGCCTTGGGTGGTTCAAAAGGGAATAGCTATCTTGGCATCTATTACTTCCTACAAAAACAAAAAAAATTGAATTTGTTAATCTTTAGCTGGAAGGAAATGATTACGCCATGAGTATGTGGAGGAAGGGTAACTGAAAGGCACCTTTGCATTTTACAATAGACAGATTTTTCGATTGCTATTGTGCTGTCTGTAATAGCAGCAAAAAAACAAACTTAAAGATCCTTCATAATCTAATACTGAATCTGTCTTGCTGTTTATGTTTGAGCCCAGAGAGACTTATTTAGTATGTCTCACAAATGACATCATCATGATAGATACAGGTAATCTATACATGTAATAATAATCACATAGTGAGGTTACTCTAGCATGGATTGCTGGCCCCACAGGCCACAGTACAGTCAGGTGGGGAATTCCGATTACCATGCACAAACAATTTTAAAGGTTTGCAAGTAGGATATTTTAACCATGGACCTCAACTTGACTGGATTTATACCAGCCAGGTGATGACACGTGATATTAAAAGAACAATTAAACAAATCACACATTTTATCATTCTACCGGGTATTTTGTTCAAATGAAGAATCAAGAAAACTTTAAATAAACAAAGCTCACATCAGAAGAGAACTTTTCATTATGACCAAAGTTATGTGATTGCTACATATCTATCTTAGAAGATATTGTATAATCAGGGTTATAGTGAGCACTAACAAAATAATGTTTTTCTTTCTTTTTTTCTCCATAAATGAACAACTAATCATCTTTTTCAATAATAATATTTACATCCTTTTGGCCACGATGCTAGGAGTTCATTTTTAATGTAGTTAGCGAATGACTTATAGCTGCAAACTGTAACAACAAAAAAAAAAAAAAAGCTCCTAACCCATTGCCTACAGGGGCTGGGTGGTTCCTGTATTCAGAATAGCCAACTGAATAGTCAATAAATCTTACCTTTCCATACTTGCTGAAGGCAGCTTTCAGATCGGCAGCACGAGTAGTCTTGGAGAGATTACACACCCAGAGGTTACGGCCTCCGACCCTTCCAGTACCCGGACGACGCTCTATGGAATAAACATCAACAAGTGAATATTGTAAGGAGCCAGTCAAACGCACAGATATTATTTATTTACCTACCAGAGTAAGATAATTGCTGTGAGGCACTTCAAAGTAAAAAACCATATATGCAGACAATCATAAAATTGGAGGGGCAACGCCTCCTGAAATCTACGCCATTGAAGTAAACTTCAATAGGACTAGGTCACAAAAGCTCTTATTCATTACACTCTCAATGTCCAGAATATATTGCTACAGTCTCTATGCAGGGCCAAAATGAACTTCATCAGGAGTGTAAAGCAAACATTATCAATCTCCTATTACCCTGGAGTATTTTAGATAATACAAAAAGGTCATCGGGTGAGAAAAAGGCAAATACTTTGAAGCAAAGTGATCTTCATAAGTAGAGCTTATAAGCCCAAAAATATTTGCTGCTAAATGTGGTCATGGGGGTAGATATTTCATAGCCGTGAAAAGTGATTGAAAACAAGGAAATTATTAGGAAACCACAATTGAAACAGCAAAATCTGTTAACTTGCACCGTCTTCTCTCTGGTCAGAAGCTGGGCGGTTGCTATACTTACCTAGATCTGTAGCAACTTCCCTATATGGCAAAGGCAATACATTATACTTGTAGAAACATTTTTTATATATCCTCAACTTAAATTTAGAATGTGTATTCTTAATGATTTATTAGAACTTTGGCAATGTTTACGTTTCTGTGGCTTTTCATACAGCATAAACAGTTCAGTCACATTGACAATCTTCAGTTGGTGTGCTGAAATTGATTGGCCTTTAAAGAGTGTTGACATCCATGTTCATTGGTTAAACCCTGAGATATGAAGCTATGGCTGTGGTTTGGGCGATTTTGATGATGCTGAGAAGATATCAGTCTCAGTGTTTGCTGCAAGAGCAATTTCTTGTTCTATTGGTTATTGTCATGTTCTCTGCTTACAGATAAAGGTAAAAAGTCGGTTGTCACTGTTATAGCTGCAGATGAAAGCTTTACTTTTTTCCTGTCCATGAATGTTGAATGTTGATCGATGCCATAACTTGATATTGTAGCTCCAGCATAAGTTGACATACCTTACAAACAATAAGGCATGGAAGTCACCTTCAGAGCACCAGTCCTTCGCCAATACACTGCATTCTGTGATTGTGATGACTTCGGTGATCTGAAGAAAGATGACAGCGATTGAGGATAGCAATAACCGCACCCTATGTTTATGTGACGTGCCTTCTTTCCATGACCTGTCCAGCACATAAACACAGCCAACTGTTGATATTTGGTGTGGTGAATGATAATCATGCAGTTATCATATATCCACCAAGACTAACCAACCTTCATGGTTGCAAGTTTATAGGAAGTCAGTGTATGATGTTGAGAGGTGATGAGTTGTATCTGCACATGGCCCAAGTTCCAGGTACTCCTCAAGATGAACAGCAAAAACCTCATCATCAGTTACAGATTGTGTAGATGGGAAATGCTGTTCGACAATGCTGACAAGTTTTTCTGTTCACTGGCAAGTGAACATCTTGGCCATTCTGATGTTCACTTTTCATCTGGCAAAATGCAGTTGTTTGGTGTAGAGTTGCAGAGGTTACTTCTATTCTTGCCACTCCTCTGTTCAAATGATCCTCCACCAATCCAAAGGCCATCTCTTACATGCCTCTGTAGCAGAATGCTTGTAACATCTTTCCAGCAATCCAGAGTTCAAGTAATCTAGTGTTCAAGAGTTCTAGTGTTCAAGAGTTCACGCAATCTATAAATCTCCCGTATCTCTCTCTTCTTGTTGTAAAAGCCACAGAAACATGCCAATATTAAACCTATCACTAAATACCCACCCACCCCCTTAATTAACCATACAAATGTGCTTCAATTTCAATTAATCTTATGTCTAACATAATTCTAGCAGTTATTGCCTGGGCAACGATGGTCTTACCTTTCGTTTCTTCTACCTGGTCACATGCTTCCTGTATAGCAAATGAAAAGACAATAATAATAATAATAGTGGCTACTTGTATAGTGCACAGGTCCACCTTTCGGTGCTCATGGCGCTTGTAAAGAATATGCTAATCTTTCCTTCCTTCTACCAGAAACAATTTCAGTCTTTATACAAACTAAATTAAATTCTATTCTTTGTTTCTATTAGCTGGCTGAACATGTTTCATGTTAACATGAGCTTCATTAAATGTATTCAAATGCTCATGTCCGTCGCTTGGTGGATGTTACATAATCTAGGCTTGTTCTGTAGATATGTTGTAAAGATGAAATTTGTTATTTGTGGTTCACTTACATTCATCACATTCAAATATCTAAAATGTTAGGTATAATCCTGTAAATCTGCCAGACAATTGGATCAAATAAGTAGATATTCTGCGGAGTGGACTTACATCTTCAGTGAGGAGTTGATCATCGTCAGCGGTGATGTTGATAGCATCATCATTGATATCATCAAGTCACACTCCACTGAATCAATAACAGACTCAGGGTCAATCTTCCCCATTACATCCTGCAAAAACAAAGAGATTGATGAATGGTGATCAAGAAATACATGTAATGGAAGGCTCCGAGGCATACTGTGACTACAACTGAATTAAAATGAAGACTCTTCTATCATTAAACACTCATGGTCAACATCCTTACAATTACTTTGCACAATCCTTTGATTTTCAGTGTCAGTACTCACTCTTGATGATCAGAAATTGCTAATGATTCTAAAGGTTGGGTTATCCTTAAAAGTTAAAACTTATCAGACAGGGGAAGCAGAATCTATCCCACATCCCTTGTAGTTCAGCTGCAACATTTAGAAGAAAAAAATTCGAGGGTTTCAATTTAGCAGGCCACTTGATATTTGTAACTACAAACACATGTACCGATATAAATTGCATATTTTCAAAAGTTTCCTCAAAGTGCAGCACCTGGAATACATGCCTTCATTTAATTTCTTATATCTTATATTAAAGATAGATGAGAGATTTATACCTCATCTGTCATCTGGAAGTCTAAACCACCAGCATCGATGCTCTCTTGTGAGAGACCATCCATAGACTGATCACCCGTGGAGTCTACCTGGAGGAACTCTCCGTCCATCAACTCATCTGGCTCCAACTCCTCCATGGGATCTTCGTGTTCCTCCTGAAAACAAGAAATAACAAAATGAAGAACGTGAAAATATCATCTTCATGACAGTGCTTGCCTCACTTGGGGATTCAGATAAAAAGCGACTTGATTTATAATTTGAGATTATCTACCAACATGGGATAGTTTTTCATCTAGGACAAGTAATATCTAGCATACATATTATACAATGACTGTCATGACTGATATTCTGACACCATAAATCTCAAAAATTGACATTTTCTTATTTTCCCCAAAGTTTCAACTTGTCCTGCTTTTACTGAGAACATAAATTACTCACAAAAACATATGCATCACATATTACAATCCACGAACCCATTGTGCAACTGACGATTGATTAAAACTCTTGCTTCTGGCAAAAATGGAAACTGAATAGATGGCTTTACAAACCAAACTGGAGTGAACATTTGCAAAAAAATAGGACTATTTCAAGCACACACCACACCCTTTGTCCCTGGACAATACACGGTTATACCATATTTAAACAGTCCTTCCTTATCCAAACATACTACAGTGCAGTCTAAATGACAAGGTCAAGAGTATTATGGAAAATACAAGCAAAGGGCATGGGCTTGAGAAAGAGAAACAAATATGACTATATAGGGTAATCAATTAGGTTGACAGAATTTTGTCCACGTGTACTTAGGAAAGAGAAGGGAACATATTTGTCCAAACCTCCCCTGTGGAAAATATCGAGAGTATAGACTAGCGAAGTTGTTTCTCAATATTATAAAGCACCCAAGATTTTCTGGATCATTTTTTAATACAAGCCGTATATCCCATTCGTGTATTATTCATCATGGATTATGGCAGCTCACATGCAGAGTTTTACACTCATAACATGCTACAGTGTTAATAGAGTTTTAGGCTAAATTAGTATTTTTAACAACTTAATTAACAATCATCTTTCCTAAGCCCGATGTCAAGTAAATACTAGCCAATGTATAGCATAATGCAACACAACATCGCTGACATTGTGATATGCAAGCAAGTAAAGACACAGTCTATCACCTCATCTCTATCATAATAACTCTTTTAACACATAAGAGGCATTTTGACAATGTAGGCCTATTTCATGGACTCAGCACTTATCAGCATGTGGATAAAAAGAAGTCTAGGCCTACTTTATTAAGAAATATTTTAATATTTTTGACATTCTTAATGTTTACACAGTAATCATCCTCAGATTATAAATACAAAAGTAAGCAAAAAATTAATGGTAGACAGTATACAAAAATACTTACGTCTTGTCTGCCAGCTGATCTCCCTGGAACAAACAAGAAAAACCAAATTAGTTACAAAATGTTGACTCCTTAAGCTGAACAAGTTCTCTGATGAGAGGGTAGCTTTATGAGCATAGTGTCATGAATGCTTTTAGATGCAGACATTACATGTACACACAAACCATTCAAACATGGTCTGAGCCTCTTAGATGTCTGACTTTTATCAGACTCATTGAACGATGGTTTGGACTACAGCCTATATGACTCCACACAGACATGATCAAATTAATGAATGGTCACTGGGAGGAGAGAGTTTGAATTATCCATGTGTGTTACTACACATCTTTACATAAACACTAAGCTTACATTACACAGAGCTCCACACTAACTGTTCTCAAAGACATAATTAGGGTCACTTTTCTGTTAAATAATGGTTTTTCTTATATTTAACATGCAAAACAATTCTTATTTGAATATTAAAGACTGTAGTCCCATTGCACATGAAAATAGCTTTAAAATGACATGTCACTCAACCTGGTAGCCCTAAAAGTTTTCATAGGAGCTTCGTGCCAATAAAGTTAATTAACGCATAATTTATTCATGAACGCCTAATTAATTATGCGCATAATTTAATTAAGTGTACATTGAATTGGCAATTTTCATAATGCCAATTACCAATATGCTAATTTCACTGTAAAATATTTTACCATTAAAAAATTATGTTAATTACCAGATATCCACCTTAAAGACGTCATAAATTGGTCGTAAAGTGGTAAACACGTCGTACGTCGTATGGACGACGTAATTACGACGTCATTATGACGTCTTCAAAAGACTAATTTTTCCAAGATAATTTTTGTCGCATTGACGACGTCATTATGACGTCATAATGACGTCTTTAAAGGACTATTTTTTTCAAGATATTTTTTGTCTTCTCGACGACGTCATTATGACGTCTTTAAAAGACTATTTTTACCAAGATAATTTTTGTCGTATTAACGACGTGAAAACGACGTCATTTTGACGTCTTTAAAAGACTATTTTTTCCAAGCTAATTTTTGTCGTATGAGGCATCATTTTCGACTGCGTGCAGTCGAAGTTCCATTTAGTTTCTTATTCTTTTTTTCAATTTATTTTGCTGCAGAATGCTCTTGCCATTACAAGAGGGATTGATCCTCGAAGCGTTGGGAAATATGCCAAAGACATGAGGGTTTATGTCCAGAATAAACTGACCACCAACGCTGTGCCCCCACCTGACCAGCGGAAAACCTGTGACATGGTTGGGTGTCTGATGAATTATCACATTGTTTGTTTTTCTCTTCCTTTTTACAATTTGTTTGACAGTGAGGAAATCGCTCCAGCGATGGAAGCTGTCGACAGAGCCCTGGAACTGTTGATTCGTCACTATGGCAACAGCAATGAAGAGGTTTTAGAACTTATGCAGATGAAGGCTTGTCTAATGAACGCCTGACCTAGCACTCCTCTGTATGGGTTATTGAGATCGACTACAAGAGAGAGTTTTATCTTTGGCTACAATACATCATTCTCAGAAATGTAATACATGCAGGAAACTACTTAATAGTGAACTATACCTCTGTTTGCGTAGGAGCAAAATTAAAACCATTTTTTAAAATGGTAACTGTTCTTCCAGCCTACAAAAGGCATAGATTTGTACACAGATAAGTGTCGGCTGCATGTTGATTATTGTTTTACCTGTGTATGCTTGTATTATTGTAAGTAAGCAACCAGGGGACCGACAGCTTTAAGTCCTCTCCGGGCGACTTGGTAATGAGAATTAAAACCTTACCAAAGGGCACGAGGGCATTGACTTGGTTTCGAACCCGGAACCTCTCGGTTAAGAGACCACTGCTCTACCACTGAGCAAAATCAAAAAGTAATTTAGATTTTCTTCAACTTTCATAATAATAGAGAAGTATAAAACCTACAAATTCTGAAAACCCTAGATGTCTAGTCTTCATAGCGTTTGGTGAGGATGTTTAGTTTGGTCATTGCAGGGTGGAAACTAAGAACCTGTTACTTTTTTTTAAAGACGTCTTACTTCCAAATCAAAAGTGACATGAAATCAATGGTTGCCATAATAAAGATAATTAAAGTATAACAATCATAATTTTCAAATGATTTTTCTTGTCAAAATCCTTCTTGTAAGTTAAACATACCGGGGTAACCTGTTCTATTTATCAATATTTAAACAAATCCTCATAAACCCCCTAGTGCCACTAACTTTATTTCCGGTATACCGAGTATAATTTTCAACGATGTCGATCTCATAACCTGGTTCATATTGAATGTTAAGGATTTTACCTGTGCATTGATTTCCCTTTTCAGTGCCTCTATAATGAATTATGTTCTTAACTCTTATCCTGCCATGAGACTGCTAGCGCGCTATTGTTATAGTGCCATGTGCACGCGAGCGTGCTATCGATTGAAAGCCACGTTCATGCTAGCGAGCCACCGCTACGGTGCTTTGTGCGCGCTAGCAAGCAGATGTAATAACAGTCATTGTTCATGCCCATTGCACCGTGCTGAGTGCTTTTGCAGCGCTATTGAAAGTACCATCGCGTGCATCAGATTATCGGCTTTGGATTACGCGTCTTTGTATACAACAGTCAGATTGGATTTTCTCGAGTAATTCAGCGATTTGTTTTTTGTAAAGATTTAAATAACACGCACTTGAACCAACCTTAAAATTAACTTGGCACGCAGGAGATTAGCACTGTGGCACAATAGGAATTAGCACTGTGGCACTGGGTGCATTGTATGGGTGGCAGCTTAAGAGTTAAAAATGTACCGCTTTTCATGCCCGCTTCTACAAATGTAAAACTATCCATAAATGCTCATTATCTTTGCATGATTGATTATAATCCCGTGCATTACAGACAAAGATGCCAACAAAAGAGTTTTCTAAAAACAGGTGTGATATGGAGCAAGAAAATAGACCTTGCGAATTCGGTTGATCAGTAACAACAGCAAGGCGGCGCATACAAACAACTCTGCGTTTTCATGAAATGGTTGGAGTCACCCTAAACAACCGTCAGCCAAAACCACACATTTACGAACATTCCTCTTCTGAAACTCGACATCTACCATGATTCTTTTGCTAATAAAGCAGTGACCTATAATCCCTTGATCTGTCGCGATTGTCAATTTTTCATCTCCCCTCCTCCCCGATTAACAATTGATTAACAAACAACACGTTATATGGGCCGGTGTGTTTGATATTTCCACCCATTGCTTGGAGCTCAATAGGCAGAAATTAGAATGGGATGCTTTAAAGGGATCGTTTAACAATGTTAAATCTGAGATACACGGTCCTACATGTTACCAGTGGCTGTGATATGGTGTAATATTGAAGCCCTAAAAAAATTGCGCTTCAAAATGATCAAGAAGTGCCTCAAAAAGTAAAAAATCTTTGAGTGACCGGTTTTACCATACTCGTTTTCCCCAATAGACTATAGTGTTATGAAAACCGTTCAGCGAACGGTTTTCAAAATTTGTAATTCCAATCATTAATATCTTGATAATCAGACAGGCGATCGGCTTGTAAAAGTGATGGAGTTCCTGACTGACCTAAAGGTTTATAATTACCATTGCAGCATGAGCTAAATCAAGGATTATTTCTAAAGGATCTAAGACAAAGTTACCGGATCCCTTTAATATCAAGGTTTACGAGCTGGGTTCAACAAGCGATGAACTGCAAAGTATACCAGTGTCCTGTAATGCACTTCCTGGGGCCCACTTCACAAAACATTTTTTCAATGACAAATGACAAAAATCAGTGACAAATCTGCTGATAACCAATCAGAAGTAAGGATTTCAGTAGCTTATAACAAAAACTGTCATTTGTCACTGATGACAAGTTTTGTGAAACGCCCCCCTGAATGAGACATAAATAGCTAGGAGAGTTGGATGGTGTGCTTTGAAAGAATTGAGCAAGATCATGGTTTTGTAATCGTTGATAAGTTTGATAGCTGTAGTGTTCAATATTTTGGAGAATGTTTCTTTGAAAGTTGAAACACAAACTATATTTAGGTTTTAAGTTATCAACATTCTTTGGATGCTTTCCCTTGTAGGAGAAAGAAGCATTTAAATTTTTTTCCAAATGATAGCAATGACCCTACTATGGTTATATATAGTTATCAAGGGAAATATAACAAATTATATACCTCACTTAAGAAATCCAGCCATCTGATTGGTCGAAATTGCAGTCATGGTTTTAGCCATTCCCGTAAATAAACGAAAAAATGCCACGTCCATGTAATAGTTCGAGGGTAAAATTCAAGTTACCGGGAATAGTTCAGTCTTGCTTAAAAACTGGTTTGAGCGATCGAGAATACCATACATTGTGTGTGTGCGAATTGGTCGCTAGACAGCAAGAACACCAAAAGGGTACGTGAATTAGTCTTATTATTAGCTGTAGATCTAGGTCTACATATAGATTGTGATTTAATGGCTTGCGATAACGGTGATACAGGTATTGAAGATTGTATAATGCAAGTGTTTGAATTCATTTGGTGGATGAAAAGTTGAATTCTACGCCGTTTTGTGCGTCATTGCAGCGCTGAATTTGGTGTTTGTCGCTTATTTCTGACAAATTTAGATAGCTTTCCTGATGGTATTTCATGCAAAATTTCTGTTATATTGATAAGCACTGATTCTTGTCCTTACCTTTGACTTGTTTCTTGTCTGTTAATATAGTCATTTAATAGATGATTTACTTGAATTCTGAGCATATTTCAGTAACACTTAAAATCCAGCCTATTCATAGTCCCACACACGTATTTGTATGTACTTTGTGCCCTTACACTGCTGCTGTCTCGATAGCGTAAACAAACTTGATTACCATGATTGGTAAGTCGCACATGTATTCTATGACCCTTTTCGGTATATAAAAGTATTAATGACTGCTTTAATTTTCGAAACATAGTTGTTTTTATACGCTCAAGGGAAGGTTACAATCGAGCTATTGCCCTCGGCAAGCCTCGGGCAATAGCTCGATTGTAACCTTCCCTTGAGGGTATACAAACAACTATGTTTCTCAAAGCAGTCATTTATACTATAATATTTTTCCAAAAGTACAAAGATCTGAAAAAGTCTTCGCGGATGGCCTGCAAACAAGCGTACAGTGACTACATCAATCACATTATAAGTCCAGACATGACCTCAAATCCTAAGCACTTTTGGAGCTTTATTAACAGCAAGAGGAATGACAACACTGGAGTAGCACCTCTTAAAGCTCAAAGTGGAAGGACCATCTCAGATAGCACTGGCAAGGCACACATCTTGAATGATCAGTTTGCATCTGTCTTTAACGAGGATGAAAATATGAACACCATCAAAGACAAGGGACAAAGCCCTTATCCAGACATGGACAAAATCCACATCAATCCTGCTGGAGTGTACAAGCTGCTATCAACTCTGCAGCTACACAAGGCTACTGGTCCAGATGGTCTACAAGCAAGGCTCCTGAAGGAGCTTGCCATGGAGCTTACACCCATCTTCACTATCCTCTTTCAGGCATCACTCGACCAAGGCATTATTCCTGATGACTGGAAGAAAGCTGATGTAGTTCCTATCTTCAAGAAGGGAGAGAGATGTAAAGCGGAAAACTACAGACCAATCTCACTGACCTCCATTGTGTGCAAGACCTTGGAACATATTGTCTGCAGTAGTATTCTTGATCATCTCGACAACCATAACATCTTAAGTGATGCCCAACATGGCTTTCGTAAGAAGCGCTCATGCACATCTCAATTATTACTAACTGTGCATGATCTTGCCAAAGGTATTGAGGATGGCGAACAACTTGATGTTATTCTTTTGGACCTGTCAAAAGCCTTTGACAAGGTTCCCCATGGTAGGCTGATGTACAAAGTCAACTATTATGGAATCAGAGACAACACCCATGAGTGGATTGATAGTCTACTCAGCAACCGTTCCCAGAGGGTTCTGCTTGAAGGAGTAGCGTCACATACATCACCTGTCCTTTCAGGGGTTCCGCAAGGTAGCGTGGTCGGACCTCTGCTCTTCCTCCTCTTCATTAACGACCTCCCAGAGTATGTTTCAGCACAGTCTACGGTGAGGCTCTTCGCTGATGACTGCATCATGTACAGAAAGGTCAAGACAGAGGAAGATACTGAACAACTGCAGAGGGACCTGGACGCTCTTCAAGTATGGGAAGCAGACTGGCTTATGCAATTTCACCCGCATAAATGCCAAGTTATGCATGTTACCAATAAGAGGAAGGTACTCAAGAGTTCAACACCCTACTGCATCCATGGAACGCCTCTGATGGAAACTGAGAAAACCAAATACCTTGGTGTTAACTTCCAGGTAAACATGAAGTGGAATCACCATGTAGATGTCATTGCCAAGTCGGCAAATTCTGTTAGCAGCTTCCTGCAGAGGAATATCAGAGACTGCCCTCTCAGGACAAAAGTGTTGTGCTACAAAACACTTGTCCTTCCAGTACTGGAGTATGCTGCTGTGGTATGGGATCCATTTACCCAGAAGAACATCACACGACTAGAAATGATACAACGTCGCTATGCCCGCTTTGCCTTAAGAGACTTTAGGCGTACAAGCAGCGTAACTGATATGATAAAGCAACTCCAGTGGACCACACTTCAGGAAAGAAGGGCACAACAGAGAGTATGTATGGTCTACTGCATAATCCACAGACTAATTGACATTCCAGCTGACGTACACCTCATTCCAACCGCTGGGCCATCTACACGTGGGAATCCAGACAAGTTCCAAGTCCCCTTCGCCAGAACCCAAACATATCAAAAGACATTCTTTCCTGATGCGATCAGACTATGGAACTCCCTCCCCCCGAGTATAGTCAACAGCACCTCCTTAGTGATCTTCAAGCAGGGGGTGCAACAAATGAGGCTTCGTTAAGCCTCTCCTGTTTTTTAGCCGCACATAGTATCAACTTGTAGTGAGATTTTTTACTTGCACTATTCATCTGGGCACTCGACAAGCACAAGTACGATAATACGCCAATGGCGGTCTGTACTTTACTGAAAGAAGAAGAAGAAGAAGATATACAATAATAAGAGAATGATTATTGTTATAGTCCATCTATAGGGGTGATGCAGTACAGTTCTTTTTACTGAACGCCCCATAAATTCTCATGCTCTTCACATGGCATCTTGTGAACTAGCAAGATACAAATATTGACTATTCACTTTTGAACAGGAATATTTAAAAAATTTAATTAACTAATAGAAAGTGAAAAATCACAAAGTTTGATCTGGCCAACTTTCTTTCAAAGTATTAAATCCAAACAAAATTTCTCCCTAATCAGTTTCCACAAAGCAAATGCAGATCAAACAGCTAAATAAAACAAACGCAGATGGCACAATTTCACAAACCAATCCCAGACGACACAATAAAAAAATAAAAAAACAGATGCCACAAGACCATATTTCGTAATATCATGAATATTTTGTAACCATCACGTGCATCACATCTGGTTTGCGCAGTCGCGACCAGCTGCCAAGTCACGCATTTGAGTGCCACGCCTCTGTACACGCATTTGAAAACCTCTAGTTGAAGTTCGATAATAGAACACTCTGCTAATTGGCTGTTTTGAAGATAAGCACGAAAGGAGACGCCCCCAGTTTTTTCTTCCCCTTTAAAAGCATCAATAAGCTGTTGGCTCAGAACATGTTCTGCCAGTGGGGAGAAGAACGACAGTGGGGTGCAAGATAAAGCAAATGGTTTTCTAAAGATAGCATGAGAGGTTTGCGTCTGAATAGCGCCGACAGGAAGTTGAATGGTGGTGATGGGAGGTCGATTACACAAATAGAGCGTGGAGTACGAGTACGTGGGGTACGAGTTCATAACCCCCTCCACCCTAGAAACCTTAGTGAGGAACAAAGGAGCCCATTTGTTGGGATTATTCTATAAGGAGATGCCTGCAAAGGTTTAACATTAGCCTTAACAGCCTGAAATGAAAAATAGTTAACAACAGGAGTTGAAATGAATACTAGCCTGCTAGTCAAAGGCTATCAAAAACGGTTACAGACCAGTGAAAATTGTGAAGTACCGTACTGAAATTGGCTACCGGTAATCAAAGATTTTAATGATTTAAGAAAATATATAGGGTGGACTAGCACAATATTCAGCATCTTTTTGTACTAGAGTTCTGCTAATGATTGAAAAACTAGATGGAATTCGACTGCGCGCAGTCGAAAATGATGCCTCCGTTATAGAGCAATTTTACAAACCAAAACAGAAAAAAAAAATTGAATTCACGTTCAATGGTAATCCATTGACAGGTTCTCAGAATATTGTGATTACAAGCAATTTCTCATATACATATATGACCCTTTGATCTTTGACCTCATGACCATAAAATCTACTCAGTTCATTGGCTCTGCAAGATGTTCTGAGTTAAATAGTAATCCATCTGTCAGTTCTAATGAGAATGCATTCACAAGCTATTTTTGCATACATAATGGGCCCATGACCTTTGACCTTTGACCTTATGAACCAAGAATCTACTCAGTTCATTGGCTCTGCAAGTAACAAACATGACCTAATTTTGGCATGAATCCATCAATCGGTTCTTGAGATAACGCGATCACAAGCTGTTTTTGCATTCATAATGTGCGCTGTGGCCTTTGACCTTTGACCTACGTGCTCCAAAATCTAATCAGATTGTCTTCCTATGGTGATACACACTATCATTAAGTTTGAAGTTTAAATCTCCAGTGGTTCTTGAGATATTATGATAACAATCTCAATGTATGGAATTTCATAAGTTGACCTCTGTGACCCTTGACCTTTGACCTACGTGCTCCAAAATCTAATCAGATCGTCTTCCTATGGTGATACATACTATCCTTAAGTTTGAAGTTTTTACATCTCCAGTGGTTCTTGAGATATCATGATAACAATCTCAATGTATGGAATTTCATAAGTTGACCTCTATGACCCTTGACCTTTGACCTACGTGCTCCAAAATGTAATCAGATTGTTTTCCTATAGTGATACACACTATCACTAAGTTTGAAGTTTAAATCTCCAGTGGTTCTTGAGATATCATGATAACAATCTCAATGTATGGAATTTCATAAGTTGACCTCTTTGACCCTTGACCTTTGACATACGTGCTCCAAAATCTAATCAGATCGTCTTCCTATGGTGATACATACTATCCTTAAGTTTGAAGTTTAAATCTCAAATGGTTCTTGAGATATCGCGCTAACAAACTCAATACAAGGAATTTCATAAGTTGACCTCTGTGACCTGTGACCTTTGACCTACGTACTCCAAAATCTAATCAGATCGTCTTCCTATGGTGATAAATACTATTCCCGAGTCTTAAGTTTAAATCTTAAATGGTTCTTGAGATATTGTGATAACGGTCAAACGGGACGGACGGACGGACGTACATGTACGGACGGACGTACGGACGGACAACCCGAAAACATGATGCCTCCGGCACCACCTTCGGTGGCGGAGGCATAAAAATGAAAGAGGCACTTGTAAAGAAAAGTCCTGCTCATATGTATTGTGCTGTGTCATAAGAAACCGATATATCAAGCCAATTACAATTTACGTCATCATATCTGAACAAGCCTTTATAGTTCTTGAGGAGCCTACCTCCAAGTCCACTCAGGCTTCCGAGTCCAAGACTGCTCAGACCTCCTCCTAGGCTACCGAGCCCTCCGAGTCCTTGGGTAAGACTGCTTCCTCCACCGTACCCTCCAAGATCTGAGAGACCGATGCTGCCACCTCCTCCTCCTCCACCACCACGGCCCATGTCTCCTCCTCGACCCATGTCTCCACCTCGGCCCATGTCTCCACCTCCCCCTCCTCCTCTACCCAAGTCTACTCCTCCTCCTCCTCCACCTCCTCCTCCGGCCAAGGACTCGATGCTGGGTCCAATACCGCTCAGACCACCTGTTCATAACATTTCAAAGGGTTTAGAGCAGGGAAAAACAGGGGCTCGGGACGAATCAGCCCCCAAAAGTCTTAAAAGAGATCTTCAACAATCGGTCAAATAATGAGAAAAAAAAAGAAGAGAGTTATCAAAGGTGGAAGAACTGAATATTAGGTCTGAAATTTATCAGGATACCTGTCCCTACATATTTCACAACAGTATAGAGTAACTAAGGGTGGAAGGACTAAAAACAAAGTCCAAAACTGTTTATGAAACATGCAAATCATATATTTTCAATGGGAAAAAGGACAATATTTATGTAATCTCTGATTTGTTGTAAATTTCTTTTTGTAATGCATTGAACAGTAATGACCCAATACCGTGGTCTCTCCCCTACATCTACTGCAAATGTAATTAACACTGACATAGTTGTCTCTCATAATCTCATGAATCCATCCATACGTACTTGGGAGAGGAGGTGGTCTAGGGGCTGGTTCCTTTCCCCCTCCGCCCGTTCTGACCTTCTCCTTGTCCATCCTCACAGCCATGCGGCGATCATACAAGGTCTGACCGTCAAACATACAGATAGCATTGACCGCGGCCAGGATGGTCTCAAACTGGACCGTAGCCATCCCCCTGCTCTTCCCCTTCTCCTCCATGATCTCCACCCTCGACACAGGGCCAGCCATCTTGAAGACATCCTTGAGTTTCCTCCAGGAGACGTCGTAGGGGAGGTTCGCCACAAAGACAGTGTCGCACAGGTTGTTGGGGTCCAGGTTTAGTTGGGTCAGCAGCTGAGGGGTGAGCACGTTCCTTGCCTTATCCTCGGCCTCACGCTGCCTGAAGTATTTCTCACTATGACGACCCTCAGAGTCCTGTATCAGATTAATAAAAGGGTTCACATTTTATAAACTAAGTTGCTCTATGACAGCCTGAGTTACCAACACACCACGCACACGTAGAATCACCGTGCACACATACACATCTAGTCACATACTGTAAAACCAGAGACTGTTGCGAATTGGAGCTGATGGCCTTTAACTAAAAATCCTTAAATTAAATATCATCATGGTTGTAATTTAAAAATCCCAGTCAAGTTTAGGAGAGGCCTTCTTCTGGGCATGAATATATAAGAATCTGACATTTTTCCCGTTCTTCTTCTTGCATCAATATTTACAATGCATATTGTATGAAAGTTTGAGTACCTTCTGTAAAAGCAAAACAAACAAAAACAACCTTGCCTGCTGTAAAAACACAACTTAAAAATCCCTTTTGTCCCTTCATTGCCTAAGATGCACTATGTTCTATCAGGCTTCATACCAACCTCCTTCACGACCAGTTTTCTGTTGTGGACTTCAAAGCGATCCATCTCAGTGAGGGCTTTCTTGGCGTCATCTTTGCTCTTGAATTCAACAAACCTGATTTTGGAGAAAATAAAATAAAGTGAAATCACTGAACCCTTTCACAATCTTTCAGGCAAATGCCTTATCGCTTTGTTCGTGTTTTAGAATATATCATTCAACCTTAGACAAAATCTACTCGTTAATCTGGGCAATGTATTCTAAGGTATGTGTTTCTAGGCAATAGCATGAAAAGTGAAAAGTCACTTTCATCTACCTACATGTTGTTCAACTACAGTAACTTAAATAAGTTGCATTCACCAGCAAAGTATCTTGATATCAACATTATCAGCTGCCACATATAATATTTAGATGGCAATGAAATCTAAAAGAAGAACAAAAATGAAAATAGTAAACTCAACATTAAAATGTGAAAAACATATCACTGAATTGCAGAATCATATGGAAGGTTTGCATTGTGTACATAATGTGTCCTCAGAATTTTTAGCCCATTTAATCCAAGGAACTCTCCAAATTTGACCAGCATGCAATATCAGTTGCTTTTCAATTATAAATACAATGTTAACTAATGAAATGAAATGGAATTTGCTACTTACGCACAGCCCTGATGAGACGAAGAGTGACATCAATGTAGAAGCAGAGGGAGAGATAGGGAGGGAGAGAAAGGAGAGAGAGTGCTTTATAATTCTTATGTTTAATTATTAAAATGATAATACTGCCTTACAATTAGAATAGTGTAAAAAATATACTCCAGGACATTTGTCAAAAACTGCTCTGTGCTTTACCACTTGTTTTTCTCTATCCAAGAGATAACCTAAGCCCGAGTCGAACATTGAACCTATGGTTCAACGACCGCATTCATCAAAACCGTTATTACCATGCAGTTTGTTACAGAACTGATCCTAGTCAATTTGGAAAATAAAACATGATGTATCAAGAAGATACATGGTATGATTCATGTTTTGCTACACGAAATTCAAACATCTCTTACTCAAAATATGAAGTTATAACTTGCACACTATATATCTGGACCTTCATAGAAACTCTTTTGCAAGTTAACTCACCTTTGATGTTCCATCAGTGTTAGCGAATAATTCTACATAGCCAACATCTCCAACTGAAAAAAAAAGAAGTAAAATGCCAGTTTTGAAATAGAGAAAATTAAAGAAAATAAGAAATATCCAAGTAATATGTTTTAGGAAACTTGCTTGTCATGTGTTGCATACCTTAGCGTTCCCAAATCTTATTTTGAGGGTTGTAACATCTAAATGCTAGATAAAAGAATGTGTTGATTCTAACAGCGTGGACTCAGGGAAAAAAATACACAGGGACTCGGGGCGAATTAACCCCTAAAATTTGCATAAGAGTTCGATGCAAAACAAATTAAAGAGTGTTATTTTCATGCAAGCAAGCTTGAAAAGTAGCCCCCAATTTTGTCAAACATTTTTTCCCCTGCGTGGACTTACCATGCCTCTTGAGTATGTCTTTGAGTTCTTGCCACGTCACCTTGTACTCAATGTTACTGATGAAAACACAGCAGTCATAGCGGATGACCTTATTCCTCTTGGCTCCTGGGATGCTTGCGTACGTGGGTCTATATCTTCCCCCATCCCGCCCCCGATCTCCTCCTCTGTCTCTCCTGCGGTCCCCTCCTTTGTTGTCTCGTCCTCCTCCCCTTCTTGGGCTTCTTGACCGTTTTCTCCTCTTGTCTGTAGGGGACCTACAGCATGACAAACAGAGAAAAACAATAGATACAAAGAATAAGTTTATATATTAATCTATGGGGGGGGGGAGTATACATGCTTTTAAATTTGTATTTGTTTTTTTGTTATGAAAGAGCAGGTTTTTCTACATATGCCTCAAAAAGAGTCAACTCGAAAATCGGAACTCTAAAAATATCTTGATAAAAACGGCGAATTTAAACATTGTTTCCAACTTTCCATTGTAGCTCTGAGATTCTTTGGTGCTCTGCGGGTTTACAATATGTGTGCTGGTAATGCCCCAAAACAGATTCTACGTCACTGTCTACTTACGTCCGTCTTTCAAAGGATTTATCGTTCATAACATGAAAGTCTCTGTACAAAGTCAATGTGAAATGCATCAAAAAAATATTGGCGGCATCCGTTTTTAGCATCGCCTACGGATCGGAAATAAGAATCGTCCGCAAAAATGTGACTAACCTTATTTTGGCGCTAGTTCTTGTTTTTGTTATTCTTGTTATTTTTGGAGTATTTTTCAGAAAAATTTTGATATTACCAGGCCTCGAATTACATCAAATTTGGGTCAAGGCCACTTTTTTGAGAGGGCACAAATCCACTGAAAGGGGCACAAATCTATCCTAAGGGGCACTAAGGCCAAAGTGAAAAGTGCGCGTAAAATCACCTCACCCCGTTGTTTTCATGGTGGGGGGGGGGGGGATATGTGCACCCCCCCCCCCCCCCAACTGAGCGAATTATCGGCCGGCGCGATTTTCAAATTTTCGGGAGCAAAAAAAAAAAATAGTGCTCACTACCCCCCCCCCCCCCCCCCCCCCCCCCCCCCCCCTCCCCCCGCTTATATTACCAGACTGGCTGTTTCGCCGCTAAATATTCTCCCACGAATTAGGCCCCCTCATTGGTCCCCTCCCCTGCCGCCGGCTGGATCCGCCTGTGGGGTGGGTGGAGGGAGTGTGGAGTTTCCCCCTTTGACGTTTCATTGAATTATTAGAGAAAGAAGACGATTCATTGTATCGTTCTTGACTCTTTATCCTTTTCTGAATTCTAAGGGAAGCGCGGAAGCTGAGACGTTTTTAATAAATTATTAGGGAATGAATACGATTCGTCTCGATCTCGACTATTAATCCTTTTCTGAACTCAATTCACACCCCCCCCCCCCCCGCGCGATGGGTGGAAGCTATGACGTTTTAATTAAAACGTATGGGAAAGAAGACGATTCTTTGTACCATTATCTTGACTCTTAATCCTTTTCTGATTTAATTCCCAACCCTCCTCCCGAGAAAAATCCAAGTTTTTCACTGATTAAAAACTGTGAAAACGCACCAAAAAAGGTCACAACGCGAAGTGAAGATGTTGAACCAACGATGGGTAAACAAAACTTCCCGATATTGATTGGTCCAAATAAAAGGATGGATTGAAAAACTAAGCCTGAGTCATTACGGTTTTTGTGCCAAACGTTTCAGTCATTTGGATGAAGACATTCTTTCATATCTCCGTATCGGCAATTAAGTCCCGCCAATAGTTAATAATTTAGGAGTTCCATAGTGGCAATTAAGTCTCGCCGATAATTATTGTTTTTAGATCTCCGTAGGGGCAACAAAGTCTTGCCGATTATCATTGTTTTAGATCTCCGTAGGGGCAACAAAGTCTTGCCGATAATTATTGTTTTTAGATATCCGTAGGGGCACAAAAACCTTGCCGATTCGTATTGTTTTTAGATCTCCGTAGGGGCAACAAAACCTTGCTGATTATTATTGTTTTAAAGATCCGTAGGGGCAACAAAACCTTGCCGATTATTATTGTTTTTAGATCTCCGTAGGGGCAACAAAACCTTGCCGATTATTATTGTTTTTAGATATCCGTAGGGGAACAAAAACCTTGCCGATTCGTATTGTTTTTAGATCTCCGTAGGGGCAACAAAACCTTGCTGATTATTATTGTTTTAAAGATCCGTAGGGGCAACAAAACCTTGCCGATTATTATTGTTTTTTAGATCTCCGTAGGGCAACAAAACCTTGCCGATTATTATTGTTTTTAGAGCTCCGGAGGGGCAACAAAACCTTGCCGATTATTATTGTTTTTAGAGCTCCGGAGGGGCAACAAAACCTTGTCGATTATTATTGTTTTTAGCGCTCCGGAGGGGCAACAAAACCTTGCTGATTATTATTGTTTTTAGAGCTCCGGAGGGGCAACAAAACCTTGCTGACTATTATTGTTTTTAGAGCTCCGTAGGGGCTACAAAACTTTGCCGATAATTATTGTTTTTAGAGCTCCGTAGGGGCAACAAAACCTTGTCGATAATTATTGTTTTTAGAGCTCCGTAGGGGCAACAAAACCTTGCCGATTATTATTGTTTTTAGAGGTCCGTAGGGGCAACTAAACCTTGCCGATAATTATTGTTTTTAGAGCTCCGGAGGGGCAACAAAACCTTCCGGTAATTATTGTTTTTAGAGCTCCGGAGGGGCAACAAAACCTTGCTGACTATTATTGTTTTTAGAGCTCCGTAGGGGCAACAAAACCTTGCCGATTATTATTGTTTTTAGAGCTCCGGAGGGCAACAAAACCTTGCCGATTATTATTGTTTTTAGAGCTCCGGAGGGGCAACAAAACCTTGCTGACTATTATTGTTTTTAGAGCTCCGTAGGGGCTACAAAACTTTGCCGATAATTATAGTTTTTAGAGCTCCGTAGGGGCAACAAAACCTTGTCGATAATTATTGTTTTTAGAGCTCCGTAGGGGCAACAAAACCTTGCCGATTATTATTGTTTTTAGAGGTCCGTAGGGAAATGAGTATGGCAAAACTGGTCACTCAAAGATTTTGAGGCACTTTATGATAATTTTGAAGCGCAATTTATTTAGGGCTTCAATATTACACCAATCACAGATACTGTTAACACATAGGGCCATGCATCTCCGATTTAACGTTTTTAAACAATGCCTTTAAGGCCACCCAGGGGAAACAGAGAGTGGCCACTGTAGACAGGTGGCCTTTCTAGACAGGTTCTACAACACACATTTCTCTCTTGAGGGAGACAAAATGCATGACCACTATAGACAGGTGGCCTTTATAGAGAGGTTTGACTGTAGTAGTAGTTTGTAAGGGATTTTGAACATCCTCTGGGATGGATATGTATAAAGTACAATTGTACTTTTTTGCCAACAGGGCCCCATTTCAAAAACTTGTCATCAGTGACAAATGACAGTTTTTCTTATAAGCTACTGAAATCCTTGCTTCTGATTGGCTATCAGCAGATTTGTCACTGATTTTTCTCATTTTTCTTTGAAGAAAGGCTTTGTGAAACATTCCCCAATTCACTCACTTTGTTTGGAAGAAGACGTCTTCGTCCACAAAGCCAAAGGTATCATGGAGCTTGGTGACCGTCCCGGTGAAGACCCTCTGTCTAGGCTGTCCGCCCTGCGTGGCCCTGGTCGTAGGGTAGCTGACCGTTAGCTGAGGGGTGGCACCTCCCTGAGAGCCTGCTGCCGCTGCGGCTGCTGCAGCGTTCTGTGCTGCTGCTTGCTGCTGAGTGGAGATAAGGAAAAACAGTTTATTATCATCGATTTTAGTTTGTTTAATAGTTTTATAGAATTTGAGAATTCATGTGCGCGGAACAGGTCAAAGGATAACCGTGCATTCTAAATTAGATCTGGAAAAAATCTGAACACAAATAAATAATCGGAAACCGATTAAAATCAGGAAATTATCAGGCCTGATTGAATCTTGACTGAATCTTTGCACCATTACTAATAATATGCAGAATTTTCTGTTGTTTTTTGTACTAAAATGAGAGAGAATAATCTAATCACCTGCTGTAAGGCGATGTTCTGTCTCTGTTGCATGGACTGCTGCTGCTGTTGCTGGGTGGGGTAGGCTGTGGTAGCTCCGGCTGCTGCAGCCATGCCAGCGTTGCTGACCATCGACTGACCGTACACTGTGGAAGGCGTGCCGACCACGCCTGGTTGTGCACCCAGTAGAGACTGGTTCTGCTGCATTAGAGTTTGATCTGATGAGAACAGAGACCAAGATTTATAAAATATTTGAAAATGTCTTTAAGATTGTTGCTAAGTGTCTGTCCGCATCAATCTCTGTTGACATGTCTATGTAATTTTTTCAAACCAACATTGAAACTTACTCCCCTCCCCCATAGGTAATGCCTTTCTTAGCTTGGTGAACCCATCATTCAACTCTGATTTATTCTTTTACAAAGTAATCTGAAAAATTCATGTTAATTTGAGAGTTGTAACCTATTACAAAAAAATGCCTTTTAAATGGTGCTCTCCTCTTGAATATTACAAGTTTCACTAAACAATATGCACAATAAAAAAATATAATCGAATTTTCAACAAGAAGAGAGCGGTGCATTGAATTTTAGTCCTTTCAAAGCAGACAGAAGCCAAGCAATCATGTTGATGGTCTTCAGAAAAATAACTTAACCCTCATACATTTCACTTTCTTGATCTTAATGTCTGAGCAAGTGATGGTTTCGAAAACGTTTCAAATTTTGAATTAAAGACCGTCACCACTACTGGGCCAGAAGGGATTAGACCACACAGAGAGCCATCGAGGTGACTGTGACAGGTGGCTATCTCATTAACTCAGCTCTCATTTAACATAAGAAAAAGAGGATCATGGGGGACCAACAGGCACCGATTGGGGAAGTTTTCTATATAGAGGGAGCAAGTAGCTACAAGTATGGCAGTGTGCCTTTAAAAAAAAATACTGAATTTGAGAAAGAGGGAGGGAGAGAGAGAGAGAGGGAGGGAGGGAGAGAGGGGGAGACATAGAAAGAGAAAGAGAGGGAGAGAAAGAGAAAGAGAGGGAGAGATAGAGAGAGAGAGAGAGAGTAGGAGAGAGAGAGAGAGTAGGAGAGAGAGAGAAGGAGAAAGAGGAGAAAGAGAGAAAGAGAAAGAGAAGGAGGAGACAGAGAAGGAGAAGGAGAAAGAGAAAGAGAGAGAGAAAGAAAGACAACTAATTATTAGTAAAGAGTACAATAACTTACTTAATCCAACATGACTCCATGGAGGGTCTTTTCGTGTGTACTGAGACATCTCACCTTCCGCTTCTGACCAAGTTTACTGAGAATCTGACAAGGGGAAAAACAAACTCAAACTAAAACATTTGAAAGTAACGAAAAAAATTTAAAAAGTTCCACAGCAGTGTCTATGAATGATGTCTATTCAAAGTGTTCTGTTTACTTGGAGAACAGTTTTTACAAATTTTTAAAATTCTGCAAGTTATAACTACGACCTTGACAGGTTTTTTGCCGACTTGTTAAAATAAAAGCCCAGCAAGAAGCAGATGCGCATGCAGGGAGTTGTTAAATCCAGTGTTTAATAAATTTGAAATTGAAAAAGTTCTTCTTCTTCTTCATCTGCAGTAAATCTTCAGAAGGTTATGCAGCCTATCACGAAGATCTGATGTAGAAAGATTACCATTTTTTGTATGCAGGCACACGTAACACCGGATTTACACCCTACTCTTTGCAAAAAGTGTAGCATATTAACGTGCATAGACAACTAGATCCAAACACTACACAGGGCCTCCAGTTAACTTCTTGTCCGAAGAATGGATCGTTTTCCCCTTAATCTGGGCATGCATCGAAAAACAGAGGGGCGCAATTACACAAAACACACTGCGGTGGCAATCATTATTGCATTTTTGTCTGCCCAGTGCAGGACTCCACCCCATGCGCATGACAAAAATTACCGGTATGCATGAGAGCCAGACAATGATCCGATTGTGTCACACCGCCTCCTCACTCCTGAATTTCAATTTGATTTCACTTTTTTCAGCTCAGTTATTTACTTTTACTAACTTTTAGCTTAAATTTTGAGGAATTAGGGACACTTGGTCTTGGATTTAATCTCGAAAATACTTTCTGGTCTACAGTGATCTTCTTGTTATACAATGAAAACGAAAACTTCTACTCGCATCACAACAAATCAACACCAACTAGCAACACAGACACGTTAAACCCGATCTAAAAACTATCAACACAACACACAGGAAACTCTGGCGCGCCTGGCCGCGAATTTTTTTTTCCCAAACAGGTTTACCTATGAGAGTAAAATCCTGCCTCCTGATTGGTTCAGAGGTATACGCGTCATGAATATTCACGAGCTGAGTTCACAGCACTGTGGCTGAGCTGCAGTACCTAGTATATGTATTACGCATGCGCGTGGACTTCAGTTTTGCTGGCCATTTAGGTGTACAAAATGTATGTGAGCTAGCTGTGTACATGGTGCGTGCGAGGGGATTTTTATTGGGGGAAGGGGGGGGGGGGTCTGTTTGTGAACATTTCTGGTTATTCTGGTGCTTGGTTTATATAGTTTTACCAGGTTGTCAACTAACAAGTCCCTGGTTTTACACTGCGGATTTTTTCTCTCAAAGAGTTCACTTACAGTACACACACTAATATTCCAATTTCACACATAGGCTATACATACAAACACTATCTTTCTCTCTCTCTCTCTCTCTTTCTCTCTCTCGCTCTCTCTCTTTCTCTCTCTCGCTCTCTCTCTCTCTCTCGCTCTCTCTCTCTCGCTCTCTCTCTCTCTCTTTCTCTATAAACACACACCCACCCACCCTCATGTATTTACAAACACATAAGCAACAAATGCACACACTAGCTGTCAAGAATACACAAAAGACACACACAAAGGGTATGAATTATCTTATCAGGATGGTCCGACATGAGATGGTTGGATGTGGTTCAAAGCCACTGTGTTGCTCTGAGCATGATATCTTGACAAACATTTAATATTATCACCCGTAACTGAAACCAACACACAATTAATATCACGGTATTAGTCTCTTTTTTGTTCCACCAAGCTAATTTTTGCACCTTGCACAAATGCACTTCTCAACACGAAATATTTCACTAAATTTGTTTTGTTATTTTCACTCAAAATTAATTCAGCCATGCTCACTTTTAATCACTTCACTTATATCTTATTTAACATTGAATACAATGCAGTTGCATGGGTTGTTCTTTTATTTTGTTAACTCGGCAGAGGCCACGGTCATGTTCAAGCATTTACGCTTACGACATGTGGTCTCCTGCTTTTTCCTTTTGTATGAAACTTTTATTTTAACTAGAAACAAATTTTGTCAAACTTACATGTTATTCATTATATTTATTTGTATGTTTCTTTGTATTGATATGAAAAAGTGGAAATAAAACAAACAAACAAACATATGAGTGGTTCTGGTTCCTTTGTGACAGATGAACCTGGCCAAAGAAAACAAAGGACATAAAGTAATATATACAGGCTCTACACACATGTCAAAGACAAGCTTTTATTATTAATATGCATACCAAGTGCACATTACACTGATTCATCTCTTATTTAAACATGAATATCTGACTAAGTCCTTTTCAATCTTTATATCTTCAAACTTCTTTTCTCAAGATTATCTAACTTAAATCAGAATCAAAACAATATTTAAAGGACATCCATTTCATTGCATTAATTTGAGCTTTCAACAATAAATACAAACAGCAGGTTCATAACCTTTGACCTACTTTCATGAATTTAAACTTGATATGACATGCACAGGATATGATTTTACATTTTCTGTTATTAAGATACAATCCCCACACACATTTATTTCACTGCCTCTGTCAACTAAATTTGAGACTCCATATATATTGCATGTATGTGTCACTGCTTTTGAGACTAATTCAGAATACATAATAACATAACCTACTGACACTATATACTGACAATTTCAAAGCATTAAAATAAAAAATAAATCCCAATTTTAATTAAAACCTGAACTCTCACTATTTATTCTCAGATTCGAAATTAGACATGAACACTCTATGTGCAAGAATTTAGCATGACCTTTCACATAAAAAAAGTAGTATGAACTATGAACTTTTACCCAAATTATTTTCAAGATTTTGTTCTATTAATAATCTTTCTTTGTCAATACATTGAACATTCTAATTACAAGTATGTATTACACTTACTGAAATCTATGACAAATGTCACCATTTTCTTAAATGAACAAAAGTTATCTTGAATGAACTAAAATCTAAATTAGCCAATTAAATCATCAGTCATTAAAATGACTATATGCGTGAGATAATATCTTACTTGCAAATTCACTCATGCCTCCATTTATTTCCTTCAAAAGTTATAATGTGCCTTCATTCTACCCTACAAGACTATTTTGTGTCTCATATAAGTTCTTAACAATTTTCATAGCATTATGCCTATAACTTGATTAACTCACTTCGAATCTAACTTGGTACAATTTACTTGACAGAAATTGTTTATATGCCTGTGATTGAAGTATTTTTGTGCTCACAAATCAAATTTGGGAAATATTAAAGGAGAATGAAACCCTGGGGAAAATCCACTTTAATGAAAAGAGAGGAGATAAGCAATTTTTAAAAGTTCCATCAAAATTGGTTACAAAATGAGAAAGTTATGAAAGTTTGAAAAGCCTCAATTTACTTTCTTTGGCGATCCTCAAATTGGCAATGTTGCTTCAAAGAAACAGGTTTAGTAGTACAATGCTCCATATGTTTTGTACACAAAATTCATATTTTCCCAATTATCTCTGAAGGTGCAGCTTGTCTCCTTCTTAGCTCAAGATATATATCATGGGAAAATGTATTTGATAACATACATGTATGTTGAGTTCACAAAAAGACAAGCAGCATCTTCAGAGATAATGGAGAAAATATGAAATTTTGTGTACAAAACATATTGAGAATTGTACAACTATAGTGCGGTTCGCAAAACTTTTCAAACTTTCATAACTTTCTCATTTCGTAACCGATTTTGATGGAACTTTTTTTTTTAATTGCCTCTCTCTATCTTCTCTGTTCGTTAAAAATAGATATTTCCCCAGGGTTTCATTCTCCTTTAACTCTTACAGTGCCAAGGGGTTTTGCTTGTTCCCAAATTCTACCAAATCATGTACAGTGCTTGCTTTTCGAACGCCTGTAAATCTCCAACATTAATTTCTATACAGATATGCTGTACACAAAAGTTCTACAAACATTTATTACCCTTTCAAATGA